AGCTTCATACTAGTTTCAACATTTGCCATTTTCACTCAACACTCAAAGGTACGTTTTTGATTCTTGCTTTTACTTATCGCTTCTATGTTTCGTTTCGATTCTTCTGGGTTCTTTCTGAAATTTTCGATTTCTCATGGACCCCATTGTTTCTGTACATAACGATTCGTTTCTCGTAACTTCAACTTGCACAAAAAAAATCGTTTCTTTGACTCACGTGTCCTCTGTTTCATCTCTCTGTTTTCCTTTAAAACATACTAATTCATCGATTTCAGTTTCATATTTCTGATTTTCTCCTTTGGGTTCTTACCAATTTTCGTAGTAGTTTGCAGAACCAAGACTAAGAATTTAAGTCATCTTCTTCTCTTAGAAGCCCTAACTAATCCCGGAATTTAGGTAATCTTCTTATTATCTCTCTCTTAGAAACCCTAATTTGTGTGGGACTCTGTGCAGTCACAAAAGTTAGCATCTTTCTTCATCTTTGTAATACCTATATTGATCGAGTCATTATTACTTCTTTTGTTTGTCTTAAGTGTATAAGGAAGCTACATTGAGTTTGTAATGACGGGTCGAGAGAAGCAGACTCTTACTCCAAAGGCGATTATACATCAGAAGTTTGGTGTTAAAGCAAGTTACAGAATTGAGGAAGTTCATGTTTCTTCTCAGAATGATTGTCGAGGATTGGCAAAACCGCGGAAAGGTCCATGCCTCTATCGATGTCACTTGCAGCTACCAGATTTTTCTGTTGTATCGAATGTCTTCAAGAAGAAGAAGGATTCTGAACAATCCGCTGCTGAATTGGCTCTCGAGAAGGTATGCTTTTGTTATATGTCTCTTGTGTAATTGTTTTTCTTAACACTGTTTGTGTTAAACAAGACCATACTATCCATGTTGCAGCTAGGCATTCAGCCTCGGGACGATGATGATGATATTACTGTGGATGAAGCTTGGGATGCTATTGTTAGACGCATTAAGTATATATTTTCTGATGAGGTTAGTAAGTCAAAAGGAATGTCTGATTTATATGTTTGTAAATATGAGTTTCATCAGCAAGATTCAAATAATCTCTTGTGACACTGTGCTAAAAGTCTAAAACTTGTCTGGGATTTCTCTTCATATGATTAACCAACTTAAGGTTATAAGCATTTATGTTAAATGATTGCCTTTGCAGTTTCTTTCAGCTGAACATCCTCTTGGTGGTCACCTTAGAGCAGCATTGCAAAGGGATGGTGATTGTTGCAGCTCAGTTCCTGTTTCTGTCATTGCTACATTTGATTCAAAGATTAACAGTCTTTGTAAAGTGATTAGTCCTTCTGTGGACTCAATTCCTTTTTTGGTCATGTCCTATGTCATGAAGGCTGCTGCAAAGTTATCCGACTACATTGTCGTATCTCCGCATGGAGCTTCACTCCGGAGGAAAAATCCATACCCTCCAGCAATTATAGACGCACTGGCTATTCATGTGGAGAGCATAAAAGTCGAGGCTGTACATATACAATGTAACCGTGGTTGTGAAGAGCCTGTTGAGCCAGTTACTCTCGATATTTCATCAGGTCGGTATTACTTGGATATTATAGCTGAAAAGCTTGGTTTGAAGGATGGCAGCTAAGTGATGATATCCAGGTGGTTAAAATGCCTTTTCTATTAATAAGTGGAGCTTTCTCGGTGTTAATCTGATACTTAAAACTATTCTTGGTTTTTTCAACAGGACCATTGGCTAAACTTCCTCGGGCTATTAGTGTAGACTATATTATGCCATTCCTAAGTTAAAGTCTTCCGGTAATTCATCGGACACTGGAGAAAGTTCAAATGAAAAATCATCACATTTTGATAACTCTCGGAATGCAAAAGCAAGTTTTGTTTGTTGTCAAGATATCCATGGTGATGCGATCTTGGCATCTGTTGGTTACCCATTGAAGTCCCATGATCTTGAACATGATGATGTAACCTTAAAGTCATTTTACAGGTCTCCCTTTACTTCCTACCAACTTTTGCTCAGTTATATGTTTGGTTCTTCCTATCCTTATCTTTTGGTTCATATCTTATCATGTTTTGGTCTTCTGCAGGATATGTTGTAGTATGTCTCTCAATGGAATCTACAAAATCTCCCGAAAGCATTAATTGCTGTGCAGTTGCCTTTATTATTCACTACAAAGTCTAATTGGAGAGGTCCATTTCCTAGGGAGATTCTATGCATGTTCTGCCGCCAGCAACAACTAGCAGAACCTGTTTTTACAATATCTACTGTTCCTGTGGAATCGATGTCTGACATATTAAGATCCCACAAGAAGTTGACAGTCTCAGAACATGATGATACAGACTATCAGTACTTGAGCAGGGCAAAAGAGGAGATACCAGGATCAGGGAAAGGGTATAGATGTGACGTGAAAATTCTTTCAACACAGAATTTGGTTTTAGATTGTTCGTTGAGAAAGTTTTATGAGAAGGAAAACTATGCTATTCAAAATGCTTCATTGAAAGCCCTCTCATGGTTTACTATGTTCTTCGGCGACCTGGATGTAGACTCATTTGGACCATGTTATACAGATGACGACCTAGATATTCAATTTAAACAGAGGAACTGTTATAAAGAGACTTTTCCAAGTAGTAGAGTATTTGAACTCCCCGACATTATCCGAAATGGAGATTTGTGTAACTCAAGGAGCACGAGTATGCCATGGGAAAAGAAGCGTGTCCAATCTATAGCAAACGGTTCCTTGGTTAGCGTATGCTATTCTGTGTCCTTGAAGGTGGATGCTGAGTATTCGAGAAATGGTGAAACTTTGAAAGAACTCATCGAAAGCAGTGAAGAGATAGAGTTTGAGGTAGGCCATGGATCTATGAATCAACATCTTGAATCTGTTGTCACTCAGATGTCTGTTGGTCAATATGTTTGTTTTTCTACTGCATTGCCTGCGGAGGGCTTGGTTTTGGCTGCTGCCACGGATACTGTGAGAACTTGCTCACTTTTATCAGGTAATGCTTCTAATGTTATATAGGATTGAGTTATGTAGTATTTTGGTGAAGGTAGCATCAACAGTTAAATTTCTCTTGTAAAGTTATGGTTCTTCTTAGGTGTTTCTGTGATTTTTCAAAGCTTCATTGTTGTAAAGAGCGTTATGAACAAGAGATTCCAGCCAAGCCAAGCCAGGGAGTTATGATGATGAATTGCTTTGGTTTTAATGTACAGAATTAGGTTTGGAATACAGTGTACTTTTGTTGGGAGTGAAAGAGCCGACAGAAGAACGAATGGAGGCGGCTTGTTTCAAACCACCACTATCAAAACAGCGCGTCGAATATGCACTGAAACAAATAAAGGAATCGTCCGCTTCTACAATGGTATGCTCTTCTTGTTTCTTATTGTGATTCCGAATTCTTTTCAATAGTTCAGTCTCTATACTTGTTGCAGGTTGACTTTGGATGCGGATCTGGAAGTTTACTAGACTCTTTACTTGACTGTCCAACTTCACTTCAAACCATTATCGGTGTTGACATCTCGCAGAAGGGTCTTGCCCGTGCTGCTAAGGTATGAGGAATCATACACCATCCTGTTTTATTCCACTTGTAGATTTAACTTGATGAGGCTTATGCATCAAAATTGCATTTACGTGAGTCAAGTCATGAGTTGGGTAAAATGTGAGGCTCCTTCATGGTTGAATGAAGATTGTTGATTCTGTACATCAACTTTTTTTTGCATCTTTTTGTTTCAATTTCAGATGCTACATTCAAAATTAAACAAGGGAGCTTGCAACCTCAGATCAATTATACTCTATGATGGTTCCATCCTCGAGTTTGATTCCAGACTGCATGACATTGACATCGGCACTTGCTTAGAGGTCATCTACTTCTATTTTCTTATTTCCTTTCTTCATCATCAGTTTTTCTAGTATCTCAAAAAGTTGTGTATGTTCATCAAGAAATCTGTCTTTTTTTTGTCGTCTGGTTTTACTTAGTCTGATCCAAATCTGTAGGTCATTGAACACATGGAAGAAGATCAAGCTTGTTTCACCCGAAACTTCTGGTTGTCTCCACACCAAACTACGAATACAACAACACAATTCTCCAGGGGTCTGCTCCAAACCATCCAGAAGACAAATCCAAGTCACATATGCCTAAATTCAGGAACCATGACCACAAGTTTGAATGGACAAGGGAACAGTTTAACAAATGGGCGTCTAAGCTCGCCAAACTTCATAACTACAGCGTTGAGTTTACCGGAGTTGGTGGGTATAGACAATATGGTAAAGCAGATCCCGGGTTTGCTTCTCAGATTGCTCTTTGTAGACGGCAATCTTTGTCAGAAGTTAACATTGTTGAGAAGTTCAAAGAAGGCTTGACGCAGCCTTATAAAGTCATATGGGAATGGAGAAGAGGAAAGGGAGACAAATAGACCAATCTTTGATAAGAGTATCGACCATAATAGGAGGCATTGAGTTATCTATCTATAAACTCGCCGTGGTCTAGGCCTTTTTCTTTCTGGTGCTCTTAGAAGATTCATCAACAAGAATACTCCCTACGAGCTTTAAAAGGTGAACCAAACTAAACAGCCACACACATTTCGGTCATCTAGTAAGCATGGATGTGTGTATTTCTTCTCTACACCAGGACAAAGAGTGGAGAAAACAAATGTGGTTGGTTGTTTGAGTGAGGTCTAGACTCTAAACTAAGATAAGTCTTTGGCATTGTACAATGTTCTGCAAAATCATATGCATCCGAGTCTAAACTACGATAAGTCTTTAAGTTTCGAGACTTTTTTCGACTAGATAAGTGGTTTGGTCAGCAATGAGTAAAGCATGATAATCCTAAAAAAATATTCCAATCTCCATTTCGATTTTTTAAGGTTAAATAATATCCTTGAAATAAAAACCAACCAATGGATTTTAAAGTTATTAAGAAAACCATGGCTATTCAACCATTGAACTACCAAATGTTGGTGATTAGATGTAATATAGTTTTACTGTTTATGTTTAGGGGAATTATAAATTAAAATTATATCAAATTATGATTAAAATTTCATCATTTATATAAAAAAGAAGGGAATTATAAACTAAAACTATATAAATGATTCTTTAATCTAAATAACTTTAGTTTACAACATTGTATCATATCAAATGAGTTTAATTTCAATAATTTAAAAAAAAAAATCTGTGTATTTTGATTTATCTTGTTTTTTTAACCCAAAAGAAGGAAAAAAACATGAAATCGTAAAAGAACATGAATCCAAAGAAAATGGTGAATATCTTATATAATATTTTAAGGTTTTTCGAAACAAAAGCTATGAGAGGCTTCCATGTGACACCCATTCTTTTGGCATTTGGCATTTGAATTTTATCTATTGAAAAGAAAAATGAAAATTTTGTGTTAATAACTTGACAATTAATTCCAACAATTTAATGGCTAATTTCAATATTAAATGTGTTATTGTGAATTTTTAATGGTTTGAAAAATAGTTATTTTATTTGTTAAATCCACCAATATAATATACAAAAAATGTTTAAGACTTTTATTTTTACATAGGTAATTGTGATTTTGTTTTCTAAAAAGTCACAAAAGAGAAATTTCGATAAAAAGAAACCAAACATGAACAAAAAAAAATGCTGTGAAAAAATTAAGATATGATTTTAAGATTTTTAAGATTGTTAAAGTCTTATCGGAGATATTCATAATTAATTTTTTTTAGTCTTCACACCTTCTAAAGCCAATTCCTAACTATCATTTAATGAAATTAATACAATTTGTGGTGGACATAACACTTCTATCCAAGATTCTTGAAAAACTATTAATAAACAGAATCACTTCACCAATTAATCGATGTTAAAGATAAAAAATAAAATCATAGCAAAACTATAAAAAGAAGAAGACAAAAATACAATAAAACATCAATTATTTTTTTAGTACGATTCAGAGTTCCATTGAAATAAACATAAAGATACATTCCAACATCTTTGTTGAGATGATGCATATGTCAAGGTAAATCAAAATCATATTACAACTTCTCTAATCAATAATTTTATTTTTATAAATGTGTTTGATGCAAGAAAAAAAGACAATAAATCATTTTTTTGGGAACCGTAGTGAATATGATGAAGACATACAAGTTTGAGACTTGTGCCAAATATGTCTTCTATATGTTGTAGTTTTATGAAAGGTCTATTTATTTTTAATTTAGACTTTTCATAACATTGTATATGTCTAATAATTTGCTACAAGTATTTAATCTTTTAATTTAGGTAATTATTTATTATACATATCAAATTTATGTAATATTAAATACACACTTTATCAATAAATTATAAATTATTGCATATTATACAATATTTATTTTAAATAGACAAAATCCATTGTAAGGAATAAAATAAAGTTTAGAAAGAAAAAGAAAAGAAAAATCCGATTCCACAACTTGTAATGACCAAAACACCCTCATTCCTCCCTCTAAAACCCCACTCTTTCTCTCTGTTGCTCGCTCCTCAATTCTCTACTTCATGACATTGTCATTCCCCTAAACTCTTGAAAGGTTCGGAATTTATTCTTTGCTACTTTTATGTTTGTATGTATATCGTTTCAAAAATTCTGGGCTTTTTCTTAAATTTCGATTTCATCTACCCATCGTTACTCTTCATGACGATTCGTTTGTCTTAATGTCACTCAAAACC